GTGTATATGAGAATGTCTTATTCTGTAAAATTTGTCGGCAAACAAACTGTAATTTATTTACAGTTCTGTTGAAATAGATAGTGATTGGAATGGCCATCAGCACAGAACTCCCTGACAGGCACAATAGAGATGGCTCTATTCATTGTTTTGAAGCATTGATAGAGAATTTATGTCCTTTATGTCCTTTTAAATTTGTCTGACTCCTCCCAGTGGACAGGAGTGACAGGACTCTTAAAAGTATATCTGTTCAGAAGTAGGTTTTAGAAAATGCAGTAGAGGCTACTCCCAGCAAAGTGGATAAAGGGTTCAATGGGACTTATTAATGATTATAAATTCCAACCACTCTTTGTTTGTGCTGCATTTGTTTGAAGGGGCACACTCTTAGCACTATGACCTCATGGGACATAGTCCAGCTGCCTGTTTTCAGTGCATCTCATGAGTAGGAGAGTACTTCAGATGTCATTTCCCAGTGCTATGATCTCCAGAACCTTGGATACAATTTGGCTGTTGCACTTTCAGGCTACAAGCACAGAGAAGGCATTGTTGATATAGGATTTCAGCCAGATTTTTTAAAATTCTAAACTGTGCATGTTAGAAGTAACTAATTTAAAATGAAGGCTTCCAGAAGAGGGCAATTTGTACACTTTTTCACCAGAAGAAGACCCTGAGGAGCTAAGTGCCATGGAAAGAACCTTGATGGACACGTGTGGCTCAGGGCTGCACTTTACCCATTCTACTTGAAAATCTTAGATATGAACACTTCCAACAGTTTTGTCACATTTCTAGAACACTCTGGAGCAAACATTGTTCAAATGAGGATTACTTCAGTCCCTACTGCTTATCGATATTTGCAAATACCTACATTTCTGGGATGTTGTCAGTGCTTATTTGTTTTATGTAGGCATTGAATGTTTGTCATTGTATGTTGGAATCTGCCCTGATTCGCCTTGGGGAGATAGGGTGGAATATAAATAAAGATATGATGATGATTATTCATATTCTTATTATTTGAAACACAACAAGATGAGTCCACAGCAGATACTCTGCTGGCAGTTGTATTGGATCACACGTCGAACACTTCCTAAGTGTCTAGGACTGTGTGATGTATTGGCGAATAATGCGTGCAGATTGCAGTAAGGTAGACTTTTGCAGCTGGCAGATGGTAATCTTGTCAGCGCCGATTGTGTTTAAGTGCAGGCCAAGGTCTTTAGGCACTGCACCCAGTGTGTCAGTCACCACTGGGATCACTTTTACTGGTTTGTGCCAGAGTCTTTGCAGTTCGATCTTTAAATCCTCATATCGCGTCAGCTTTTCCAGTTGTTTCTCGTTAATCCTGCTGTCACCTGGGATTACAACGTTGACAATCCATACTTTGTTTTTTAACATGATCATGAGGTCAGGAGTATTATGCTCCAAAACTCCGTCTTTCTGAATCTGGAAGTCCCAGAGTAGCTTGACGTGTTCATTCTCTGTAACTTTTTCCGGCTTGTGATCCCACCAGTTCTTTGTTGCAGGCAGATGGTATTTGTGGCACAAGTTCCAATGAATCATCTGAGCAATGGTGTTATGCCTCTGCTTGTATTCTGTCTGCATTGTTGTTGTTGTTGTTGTTGTTGTTGTTGTTGTTTTGTACCAGATGATTTTGCATTTAAGCAGAAAAGCTTTGCTGACAGTGCATTCCATGGAGAAAAATGATTATTTGCCGGATGTCTCATATTTTGCCTTAATTATAACTGTAAATATAATAGGAGTTAAATGTACTAACTAATTTGTGTACAGGAGTAGCAGGAAAGTGATTTTTTATTTAAATAATTATGCTAGAGTAAGTGTAACAAAGGGTTGGCTGCTAAACATACAGTTTACTTGTTCAGTTGGACACACAGGGTGTGTTTATTTAGTCTGCAAGGTTTTTTTAAAAATTGCACAAATGCAATTTGCCCTTTGCCTTCATTATGTGGATCTTAAGGTCTGGTTCCTATTGTTAGCCGAATGTTGAAAATCTGAAAATTTACATAGGTTTCAGTGAGAAAAACCCAATGGGAATATAAATGGATTCAGGAGCACAGAAAGTAAAACGGACATTCTTTTCTCAGTAATTTCACCATATTGTGCTCCACAAAATACAATTTTGCTGTCAAAAAGACGTCTAATAAAAAGGGCACGATGCCTGCTCTTCAGCTCTCGTTTTAATGATTGTGTGCTCTTTATTAAAGAGAGTATTAAATTAGAAGTGAACATCTAGCTCCTAAAATTAAATTGGCCCAAGAGCTTGTGTCAGATAAAAGCCAGTCTATCTAAAGTTAATCAGTTTATCCACCCAAAGTTAATCAGTTTGTTTGTGCTGCATTTGTTTGAAGGGGCACATGGCCTAACTGAACAAAAAACAAAAACAAAAAAAAGCTACCAAAGGAACACTGATTTAGATTTTAGAATGCAATTACGGACTTATTTACAGTTCATGGTGGCTGCTCTAGGATTGCTGTATTATTGCTTTGGGGTGCAGGAGACTACGGATTTTGTTATAGTGGAAAGGCCGCTCTCAGTTCCCTACTATTTGAGCAGGGAAATTCAGGGAATCATTTTGATTGGTTTCTCAAGAAATTACTGGTATCCAGAAAGAAATCATACAAAGGCTAATTTGGACTTATGCTAAATCTCACATAGGGTTTTCTTGGCAAGATTTAGTCAGATACTATTTGCCATTGCCTTCCTTTAAGATTGAGAGAGTGTGATTTGCCCAAGATTATTGTCTTCTCCCTACCTCATCTCTTCTATTGTTGATAATTGCCAATTGTCTATTAGCCAATTGTCTATCACTTTATTGATATTAGGATATTTTTCCAAATTCTTCTGTGTCTCACTTGCTTTCAGATGTATTTTTCCCTGGAATTTGTTTTTCCATAAAGATTCCATTCAGAAAATTTTGCAAATAACTAAATAAACATTGGTTCCCTCTGTGTCTTGGTTCTAATATTGTTCTTAGGCATTGTTTGGGAAATCAGCGACTGCCATCAAAGAGAAGTGTGTGTGTGAAAGATAAGAGAGAGAAGGAATGAAAAAGAAAAGAAGGGAAAAATATAAAAAGGAAAATGTTGGCAAGCATTCAGAAAAAATTCTGCAAAGTGAAATAGAGACAGAATCAAATGTTCAGTGTCTGAGAAATTATGGCTTATCTCCACTTATGCTTATACAACAGTTCTGACTGCATTAATGTCAAAGCCAGTCTAGGCCTTATCCATAAAAACTAGAAAAGGTTTCACTGAAATCAATGAGATTTACTTCTGAGTAAGCAAACACCGGGTCTTGTTTATCCATACATGTCAGATGCTTGCAATGCAACCCAACACACCAATTCCTTAGGACTTTATTACACGAGGGAAATAAATGCAATTATGGCAAGATAAAACCATCTGTTGATAGGGCTCGCTGAACAGCATTGTGGCTGTGCAATAAGCCACATTGTGTTTGGGTCATGATTTAATCTCTTTTCACTGCCAGGAAAAACCCATCATTATATCTAATATCAACGTTGTTCTGCCACTCTTCCTCGTGTGATAAATTTCCTTCTGCTGCTATCCCAGTATTATGAAGCAGGGGAAGGTTTGATGAAACTGCCCATAGTTAGAATAAAATAGGAAAAGAAAGAAAAAAATAGGAAAAACTTTTGTGCTGGATAGGGCAAGAATGAGTAGAAAGAATAACTGACATAGGAAAATGGAATGACCAGACTCTTTAAACAGAGGGCCAGGTCACAGTCCCTCAAACTGTTGGAGGGCCGGATTATGATTAAAAACATGAATGAATTCCTATGCACACTGCATATATCTTATTTGTAGTGCAAAAAAAACACTTTAAAACAATACAATAATTAAAACAAAGAATAATTTTAACAAATATAAACTTATTAGTATTTCAATTGGAAGTGTGGGCCTACTTTTGGCTGATGAGATAGGATTGTTGTTGTGTGCTTTCAAGTTGTTTCAGATTTAGGTTGACCCTTAGTGAGGGCCGGGTAAATGACATTGGAGGGCCGTATCCGGCCCTCGAGCCATAGTTTGAGGACCCCTGGACTAGGCGATGGGACTGGACAATGTTTTTTAACAAGGAGACACTAATGATTTTTGTTTTATTCATTTGTTATGGTTTTATAGTAATGATGTTTTTGATGAAGATGTTTTTTGATAATGATGAATTGTGGATTATTTTATACTGAGTCTTGTATTTTGCACCTTGTTTTTCTATGTTGTACACCGCAGTGAGTTGCCCCTGGGCTGAGAACTGTGGTATATAAGCAAAGTAAGTAAATAAATAAATAAATAAATAATATTATATATTAATCTTCTTAATTGTATTTATGATATTGTGTGCATTGAATTGCTGCCTGTAAACCACCTTGAGTCATCTAAATAAATAATAAATAGTAGAAAGCAAGGCTGGTTAGAATACTGGTTGCATCAACAAAATGCCAGCATCATTCAATCGCAACACAATGTGAGATACGTTTTCTAGTAATGCAATGTTTCCATTTGTTTAAATAATGTAGTGGTGACAAGACAACAGGCTGGTGGGATAACGTTCTTACTGGGTTTTTGTGGAGGACTATTGTACAGATGTCAGATCAATGCACCTCCACAGATGTCTGCTGCAAGCCTGCTGGTGGCCCCATAGACCTTAGTAGAATTTCGTCTCAGCTTTCCTGTCTGAGGATAAGCAGACAAGCACATCTAGATGACTGAATGGGGGCTGCTATGATGTGTGTGGTTTGACTCTAGACAAAAAGAATTTAAGAGGAGAAATGGAGCTGTCATTTTAGGGAATTGCTTAAGATAGGGCCTAACATTAAAGGAAAACATCAATATAAACCCTTTGATAAGTAACAGTGAAGTGTGTGTGCCTTCTTTTCAATATCAAAAGGTGGCAGCAGCCAAGATCAAAGTTTAGTTTATAACAGAGACATGAATTGCTTTAGAAGAGTACCACATGATTGATCCTAAGAGGAAGTCTTTTAAAAATCACTTTATTGTTTTATTGCTTAGTATCAAAAGAAATGAGACATTGATTAAAGGCCATCGTGAATTGAAATTAATATCCATCCCGTTTCTAAGAGGCAGGACTGAAGGATAAACTGAAGTAAGCAGTTGAAGTAGGACAGAATCACAGTATGTTGCATTCAAGTAAACAGTAGCATGTATGGATGGATAGATGCTTTTTGCTAGTCTTCGCAGAACAACAACAAGAAAACGCTAACCATAACACTGCTTTCATTTTCCAACTGACATTTCAGGATCCTTCATCTTAGATCACTGAATTTCCAATAAAGCAATGACATAACGCAGACTGGGTAGACAATGCTGTTGCTGTTCTTTCTCTTTGTCACAAAGAATATTATTTTCTAATGCTATATCATCTGGCTATCCCTTGCAAAATGAAATGAATTGCAAAAATATTTCTAAATCCTGTTTTCTACTAAAAAAGCCATACAATAAAGATTTCTGCATTCCGACTAAGATATGAAAGTTGTTTTCTCTCTCTCTGCAGGTGTATCTTTCTTCTTTCTGTCCAAAAGCTTGTAAAAGGATGGAATGTTGTTTGCTTTATCTGATGCCCCTCATATCGTAACTAAAAGTTCTTCAGGTGAATCAAACCTATGGACCTGTCACCTTAAAGTTCCCTGTTGACTTTGGTAGACCAGGCAGACATCCAGCATTTCCATGTAGGCAAATGTATCTGCAGTGTAAAAGAATGGAATATAATAGACAGAGCAGCCCTTTGCTAATAGAAATGATGGGGCTAAACTTCCCAACTGCACCATTTCTGGTACCAAAAGAGCACTGGGATTCAGCCACAGTCTGGAATGCAAGGCAAGAGGTGAAGACTCAAGAGCTTTACTTCAAGGACTAGGGTATAGTCATGTGCTATCTTCGCACTGCCAATTATTGAACTACAATTATTGAATGCCGCCCTGAGTCCCCTTGGGGAGAGGGGGGTGGGATATAAATAAAGCTTTATTATTATTACTACTTCATGCAATAAAGCCAACTTTTGGCTTGCTGGCATGCCAAAGAGTTGTAGTGTGCTAAGGGTCCCACGTATTTTTCTCCTGAGCTGTTACATATAAGAAATAGATTCCGTTAATCTGTTAATAAATTGGGGACATTGTTGTTTGGTTTTTTACTTTATATCCTGCTTTCCTCTGGAGATTAGACTTAAAACTTGGAAGCAATAGTTGTTTACTTCCTGCCCTGTTTTCTGTAGTTCTCCTCACCCACTCCCTGCCTAACAAATATAATTTTGAGTCCAACCTTGTTCTTCCATTACATTAAAAAAATGTTGGACAATTAAAGAAAGAGATAGGCTTAAGCCTTCTTAAAAATGAAGCACATCTGGCAATCAGTAAATTGCTTGTTGCTATTTATGTCCCTAAATTGGAACATTTCTAATAAGCATTTATAGCACGATAGGAAAAAATGTGGGCCCCCAGCTGTTGTTGGACTGCAAGTCACACCAACCTGTAAAAACTAATAATAATAATAATAATAATAATAATAATAATAATAAATAATTTTATTACTCATCACTTCTCTTTGCTGCTAGAGGAGGTACGACAGGTGGGAGATGCAGTTCTACATTTGGAGAGCCTCACATTCAAAACCTTTGTTTCGGGCCAGTAAAACCAGAATTGCTTTATTGTCCTCTTGATGGAGACAAAAGAAACAAGAATTGCTACTTACTCTTATCTGGATCTTGATGTGCAACTTGTTTTGGGGTTCAAATATAATATCAAACTTGGGCTGACATTCTGGCTTTAAAGCTGCAGTTTCTACAAGTGGCAGTTAATATAGCCTAGGCAAACTTCTGACCACTGAATAGGATTTAGGGTGCTTTAATTCTGTGGCTGGAATGTGTTTGTTTCCCTGGCAATAACCAAACCTCTCAGCCTTTTGAACTTTGTTGCATTCATTCACAAGCATGCAAGCTCAAATTCTTTTCATCAGCAGGATGCGCTGCTATCCCATATTGTGAAACGTGACTGGTTTACCATATAAACAGGACCATGCTACAGATACACACATACATAAAATATGCTCAAACAATATCAGAAAATAGAAAATTTCTTTAGTATGTCTACAATCCAGGTCCTTGCTTCTGGTAATTTTCTTCTTTTGGTAGGGATTAGGCAGCAACTTCCACCTGTCCTAGAGAAACAGTGCTTGTTCTTGAGCTGTTTTCACAGCATTTACATCCAATATGTGCTAAAATCTTTGCTCGTGTACAAGGAATCCAAAGAACGTACAAGCTCGCCATAGTAACATATATTATACATCACGGAGAAATTAGTCCAGGGGCTGTAGTATTTTTTCCCAAACAGATCTCAAAACAGTTCACCCAAACTGCTCTGACACAAAACTTTAAAAACCAGAACCGAACATTACGCTGTCGCTAATACCATTGACAACATTTGAAAGACCAGACTCACATTATATATTTTTCAAGCATCAAGCGGTAGGAATACAAGGAAAAGTCCGAATCCTTGCCTTTTCAATAACACTTCAAATCAGAAAAAAGTCCCAGTTTTCTTAAGACACGTGAAAAGGGTGCAAATTTCCAGATGGGTTGTTTATTTTTGTCATGGTAATAGTTAGAAATCTTGTTCAGAAAAATCATCCAGTTTAGTGTTTCTCCTGCCTTGTTAAAACAAAAACAACCAAAGCCTCCCCCCTAAGACTCATACCACCCTTGCTTGGCTCTTTTCCAGCAAGTGCAAGGTGTTGTAGTTCACCCATCTCCTGTTGCCCAAGATAAGACTAAATGTCTGATATCAACAGATCCTTGGAGTTGTCTCGTAATTTCCCTGGTCACTGGCAAGACAGCTTGTTTGGGCTGACACAGTGCAAAAGGAGGCAGACAGGCCTTGTTTCAGCAAAGCGTCACTACTGCAGTAGTTACAGGGGCAAAAAAATCAGATGTTTTCCAAGACATCGATGGGGACAAATCCCTTTTTCTTCCCGCAGCTTACTTTGATAAAGCCATCGCGTTCCTCTTCTGAAGCCATACAGATCTAAACAAAAGAATAGAGAGGGGAAAATGTTCATTATGGGACTTTAATAACTACTAAGGCCAACTGACAAATAACATTATCCCAGAGACACGGAAAAGATCAGAAATAATTACAATTTAAAAACCTAATAAAGAGGAAACCTATCCCAGCTCATACAGACCAATTACACTATGCAATATGGATTACAAAATCTTTACAAGGTGACAAACCTGTTTACCTGTGACAAACCTCTCCAGTCTCTCCTTGAAAACACTTGATCTCAAGGGCATTCCAGTTCTATGGGTTGCTCAACTTAGATGGTTTTATCTTAGAAGGTATTGCAGTACATTTTACTCATTAGTCAATTGGCCATATCAAAACATATTTTGGAAGGTGGATGTAGGAAACTCCCTACTGCAAGACCCAGAACAAGAAAAGGCTGATCAAACCTCCATGTCAGAACCAAAGGGAAGCTTCTACGCTTCTCCCAGGCTCCAGAACTCACAGGAACCATTTCAGAACTTCACTCAAATGTTGCCAAGGTATTCTCCCTCCAAACCTGCTAGTGTAGTATAAATAAAGACACCATCCTGAAGCCAATTCCCCAGTACTCAACAAGGGAAAAACACCTACTGGCTCCAATAGGTGACTTGATAGACTCATACTGCACTGAAGGCGACATGTTGGGTCATGTGGATTCAGAGAAGGTCCATGTGTGGACTACCAGATCTTAAATAGCCTCTGGCCCCACCCTCCACATGTGGCTAGCCTCAGTGCATGAATTGAGACAATATTAACAGGCCTCTATTCAGACAGTCTACCAAAACCATCCCTTTACCCCTAGCACCCATGGCTGTGTGCTCTTCAGATCAAAGTTCTAACAAAGTAAGTCTCTAAACTATAGTAATTAGGTCTATGTTTAATCAATTGAGGTAAATGAGCAGTTCACATTCATTAAGAAATGAGTCTTCCTGTACTATTCACTTGAATTCTTTCTGAATAAACGGATGGTGAGAATATTAATACCCCATTCTTAGCATGATATTCATAATTGGTTACCCATAGCGTAAAACCTTTATGTAACGTATGATTTGTTTTATAGATTGAGTTTACAGCAATTTAAAAAGAAAGAAAGAGCTGCAGACTAATAAAGATTTCATGAAACAGGTTCTAAAAATCCTCAGAATAATAGTCTCTTCTAAGTTCAAGGATGCTTGTTTCATTGCTTTAAAGATTCAAGGACTTTATGCATTATTCTAAGCCTAATGGCTCTTTTATCTCATATTTAAAATAGATAGACTTTATGCCTGATATTCTGATGGATTTGTATTCCAACTGATACTACTATTTGATGGCTCTTTTTGTTTAAATATTGTTATAACTGTATATTTCAAATTGAGAGGAAACTATACCTCATGCTGCGATTATGTTTAGGTGGCTATTGGAATATGATTATTCGTTTTGAATAAATATATCGGTTTAATTAGATCATTATCTACTCTTATAAAGACTTGGTTCTAGCTGTTTTATTATAGATGGTAAAAGACATTATCAAATAGTTACAAACAAAAACTCTAAGAAAGCATTTCTGCAGATATATGTTTACTTAAATCTTTACTACGGTCCCTTGGTTGGAAATAGGCAGAACTGTAATAGACCACTCAGTCTCCTAGCCGTTGTTTCTATAATCCCATGGTGTCAGTGGTCTGCAGTCTTGCATTCGGAGACATTGCTACAAAATGTAACTATGATAACCTTCAATCCAATCCACATTCACTTTTCTTAACTCTCATCACCTCAATTTTGGCAATTTCCTATTATGTGAACAGTAGGTAGAGCAAAAGACAAGTGCTCAACTATTTTCCTATAGCTACACAGCAACAGACACATGGAAGGATTTCTGAAGGTCCATGTGGATGATGCCACTACTCTGAATACAGCCATTAGCAGAGTGATCATTTGCATGGTTAGTGCAGAATTCCAGCCTCTGTAATGACTCATAGGGAGACAGACTATGACCATTGTAGTCCATCAACTATGGATGCTAGCCATAGATTAGCTTCCTATAAAAGTTTGGCTAGTTTTCTACTCAATGCTTTAACTCTTTTTGTAGCTTTGGAGTACTTGCATCACAATACCAACATTCCACGGTGATTGATTCTCAATGGCAAAGTGTTGGCGAGGGGAAAGGGGGAGGGGAATTAAAATAAGTTACTAAAAGTCATATATTACTCTGAAGTGTAGAGTTGCTCGGTGCATCTGAATGGCCTATTCTAAGAGTGTAGAGTTGCTCGGTGCATCTGAATGGCCTATTCTAAGTGCCACAGAAAATAAATGAAAAAATAAATAAAAAACAGCATAACATAAGAAGGAACCTATTCTCAGTTTTGTAGCTGAGATCAACTGAGCAATCCCACTCATTTTAACCAATTATTCAAGTAATGCAGAAAACACTGCAGAAAACTTCTGAGATTCAGAAAGTAGTTGGTAAAGAAGCTAAACTGTTTTGTTCAGGGCTGAGATAATAGTTGGGAGTTGGATCAACTGCACCAAGTAATCCATTGATAATCCAGCCTGCATCTCAAGTGGTTTTGGTAGAAAATAATATGCCATATTTTCTGGAGAACATCCATTTGGGGGAATTCTTGGCAATTCATCTGGTGACACTATGCCCCACCAATGGTATATCCAGCTCTGGCTCAGAATCATGTATCTAAGAAGTTATACAGGGTGAGGCAGCATAACTTCCTTTTTTCAAAACGTAATAAAAATCAGTTTACTCAGTGTATGGAGAATGGGGGAATGTCACCTACCTAATTTGATCTTCAAAACTGCATAAAACAAAACTTTAGGTATGCGCCTACATTATAAATTTTTTTAAAAAATTCTGATTCATACAATGGGTTCTTGCATTTGTCATGACTCTTGCCAGCATAGCAGGCATTATGTTGGCAATTTCTTCCTGGATGTTGGTCTTCAAATCTTGTAGGGTCTTTGGATGGTTCACATAAACACCAAATATCAAAAAACTCCATAGAAAAAAATCACAAGGGGCCAAATTTGGAGAGCGGGCTGGCCACTCCAAATCCTCTCGAAAAGTAGGCCTCAATGGCAAAAGCACGCTCCTCACTGTTCCAACGCATGATGGTGACTGAACTGTGTCAGAACCACTAGCACTCCGCTACGTCTTCAACCGACCGAATGGCGCGCATTTTAAAAAAGGAAGTTATGCTGCCTCACCCTGTATTTCACCACTATAAATATGGCCCATTCTAAATAAACTAATTTTGCAGGAGGTGGGAAATGTAAAGGAAAGCTGGGATTCTAGACATAGCTAACTGTGCAAAATATACTTTCCTTAATGTAAGGATTACATAAGTGTGGGGTTTTTTTTGTCGTGTCAGGAGTGTCCTGTTGTGGTAAGTGTGGTAAGAATTAAGCTCTGTTCTTTCAGAATGTTTCTAATGTAACACTTTTTGAGTGTGGGAAAATGATATTCAGGCCTATGCTTTTGGGGTTCAGTCTTGCACTATTAACTTTGTTGATGAAAATGCCTTGGGCAGGAAGGACAGAGAATTGGGAAAAACCTGTTATCTACTGTTTGCAGGCTGTTATCTGGAAGTCCAATCCACTGAAAAATAATAGCCAACACTCAGGGTGATAGATTTATGCAAAAAGTCAATCAAATTTCCTGAAGGTGAAAAAGCAGTGAGCAAACCCACCCTTCTGAATGGCTCAGCAGCATAAATATTCACAACAAACACTAACTATAGCTCAAAAATCCAGAAATTCTCTGTGGGACCATACTATTTCCAAACTGGCCTGTTGATCCTGACAGACAGGAAACGTGATCTAATATTAGGCATTCCTTTTCTGTCCTCCCTCCCCTTTTTGCCTAAAAATAAACTGTTTTGGTCCTACATGTTTCTTGAATGTCTTCAGACTTACTGTCCTTTTCCCAGAACGTCAGAAAATTGCACAGTATGTCTGTACATTTTGTGATCCGCCAAGTCAAATGCCATCCATCAACCATGCATAATTGTAGCCCAGCTTGGGGTTGCAAAAGTACAGCAGGCCAGAATTAAGCACTTGTCAGGCAGAAGACATGGTTGCTAGACTGCAATCAGTTAAAATGGAAGCAAAGAGACATCCCATCAGTTAAAGAAGGTCTGAGGAAGGTCTGGGGAGTGATATTCATGCTGAAATGCACTAATGTCATTAGCTTACAGAGAGTACATATGGAAACAATCATTTTAATGGAATATGACCTTTTTAGATTATGCTTTGTAATTATAAATTGTAGGAGAAGGTGCAACCCTATGATCTGTTGAGAACACTGTAAGGAGAAAGGGTTATGAAAAGTTGTAAGAGGACACTGATAGCTAGCAATTAATTATAATAATACCACAGCATAAAATCTGACAAAAGATCTTGACTGAGATCCGTCATCACAGGTTATGTTACATTTTACAAATCTGGGAGAGTAGCGGTTTGAATGTTGGTCTAGGATTCCAAGAGAAAAGGGTTTGAATTCTCACTCAGCTTTGAAAATCCACTGGGTGACCTTAGGCAAGTGACACTTTCTTGTCATCAGAGGGAGACAATTTGTTCAAATTTTGCCAAGAAAACCCTATGATAGTCGTCTCTTAGGTTCACCATAAATCAATGGTTCCCAATCATTTTTTGGCCAGGGACCACTCTCCAACATTAGTATCAAAAGGATTATGAATCGGTTTTTGGTCAACTTTAGATTTGGTTTGCTTATTTTGGGTGCTGATTCAGAAAATTGCATTGGATAGACCACATCAGCTCTAGTTTCTGATACAGAACATATACCATCCAGTAGTCAACATCTGCTCACCCACAGAAAATCATATTTAATAATCTAGAGCTTATGTGGTAGTAGTAATTTTTGTGTGTAGTCAGCCTCTCCCCTCTCAATATCCCCTTTGCATCAACACCATAAGAGGGTTTTGTGAGACCAGTCACTCTTGTTGCTGTATGGTTTCAGGGCAACAGTG